CTTCCTTCCAAAGACTTAAGGAGAAGATGGCTTCTATCAAAGCCATTCTTGGGGGTTGGGGGGTGTCACTCTCCAAGCCAGAACGAGGAAGCCTAGCAGAGCCAAACTCTCTCAGAGGGCTTCTGTTGCCACTCTGCGTGAGTCACGCCATCCTGAGTTTCTTTCTTGTGCGGGTGTATACATCTGCAAACGAGAAAGAAACGGGGCTTGTACTTCAAGAATTATGGCGGTGGCTTAGCTATCGGAGGTTTGGGAGCTACTGGGGTGGACGGGGGGTTCCGTACTTGTCCAACCACATCAACGGATGTCCATGCCTCCATATTCCCTTCTGGAGGTCCAGATGCACCCTGTGTTAAGCCCCATGAATGACTAAACAAGTACAGAATAACTGAGTTGGAAGGGACCTTGGAGGTCTTCTAGTCCAACCCCTTGCTCAGGCAGAACACCCTACTCCATTTCAGACAAGTGGTTGTCCAGTCTCCTCTGAAAAGCTTCCAGCGTTGGAGCATTCACAGCTTCTGGTGGCAAGCTGTTCCGCTGGTTAATTGGTCTCAGTATCAGGAAATTTCTGCTTAGTTCCAGGTTGCTTCTCTCCTGGATTAGTTTCCATCCGTGCTTCTTGTCCTGCCTTGTGTGAATGATGATACCATTTGCTGTCCTGTACAGGACGCAAAACCTCATGACTGTCAAGAGAAGATGCTTTATCTTTTGCCTTGGGCACATCACTTCTACAGTGTGTGTACAGCTGCCAAGATCTCCTTTTTTTTTTTTTTTTACCAAAACAAAATTAAGAATGAAGATGGAAGAATTTGGTAAGAGACAATGTTGTCTGCCCATGGAGATCCATGGAAGCCAATTCTGTCATGGCTCCGTGGACCTTCCAGGGACTGCATGGACCTTTCACGGAGTGTATGAAATTGCCATGGGGTGCATGGAACTTCCACGGAGGGCATGGAACTTCCACGGAGGGCATGGAACTTTCACGGAGGGCATGGAACTTCCACAGAGTGCACAAAACTCTCACGAAGTTTAGAGAACATCCCTGAACAACCTCATCCACGTCACAGTCATGGAACATGGAGTACACAGAACCCCCGTGGATTATATAGAACTTCCATGGATTGTATGGAACTTCCACGAAGTGCGCAGAACTTTCGGAGCGCACAGAACTTCCATGGAGTTTACAGAACGTCCACGGATTGCGTGGAACTTCCATGAAGTGCACGGAACTTTGAGGGAGTGCATAGAACTTTCACAGAGTGTCTGGATCTTCCAGGGCGTGCCTGGACCTTTCACGGAGTGTATGGAATTGCCAAGGGGTGCACAGAACTTCCATGGGGTGCACAGAACTCTCACCAAGTTTATAGAACATCCCCCAAACAACCCCATCCATGTCACAGTCCTAGAACTTCCATGGAGTACACAGAACTTCGGTGGATTATGCGGAACTTCCATGGAATTTACGGAACTTCCATGAAGTGCACAGAACTTTCAGAGTGCACAGAACTTCCATGGAATTTACGGAACTTCCACAGAGTGCATGGAACTTCCATGAAGTGCACAGAACTTTCAGAGTGCATAGAACTTCCATGGAATTTACAGAACATCCACAGAGTGCATGGAACTTCCATGAAGTGCACAGAACCGTCGGGGAGTGCACAGAACTTCCACAGATGACATGAAACTTTAATGAAGTGCACAGCACTTCCACGCGTGCACTTCCATGGAGTGTACTGAACTTCCAGGGAATGCGTGGAACTTTCATGGAGCGGAGAGACAGAACAAGGAACAACAGGCAACCTCCACTTCCGATACCCCTGTATTTGTGTTATCACTAGCAGGGCTTAAGCAAAGAGCTGGCCGCAGTGCCACAATCCTTCGGAAAGCCAGACTGAAATCAGCGTACTTCCACTTTCTCATTCTCGTAATTTGATGAAACCCATTCAAAAACTGCTTATTCTAATCAGACCAAGCTGGCCAACGCACCCTCGCCTTCTAAAGGGTTCACACAACACTCTCAAGTTAAAATGGGATTGGCTAGTTTACTTTCCCTCTGTGGGGCAAGCCTGGAATTTCGTTCTATAAAGCACAGTTCAGGAAGTGGCAGCTTTAGCATGTTGTGCAAACTCAACCCAAGTGTCTCGGAAAGAAGCAGAATTTTAAAAAGCTGGAAACCCTCCCAGGGTGGGCCCCGCTGGGACCACTGAAATCTAGGATTAATTTCCAGCCATATACACTTCCCTCCCACCATGATCAGCCTCGCCACGAACCGTGGAACGCCCAGGAATTCTGTGCTCCGAGCTGGGTGTGACATGAGTACAACTGTTGCAGTGGTGGGACCCACATGTAGCACCAAGGAGAAGGGGGAGTCGGGGGTCTCTTTCCCCAAGAAAGTTCTTGTCCCTAGAGAGGAACAGCAGCCCTGTGGGAGCTCAGGATGTGCGGTTCACATCTGTGCGTGTTGGCACATCTGTGTGTGTTGGGACCCTCTGGAACCACGTCAAAAAAAACAACAACAGAAAGAGGAAAAACGAAACGGACACTGGTCATTTTCGGAAAGCTCGTTCACAGTCCGAAATTGAATCCCCCACCCTTCCAGAGCCCAAAAGAAAAAATAAAATGGGGAGGGGGGGGAAGAAGAGTGAATGAGTAAAGAAACCAGGAGGGCTCCCCGCCCCAATGCTTTGTGCAGCCTTCCCGTTCTTTTTTTTTTCTTCTTAGCAGCAGATACTCGTTGCAACTCGTTTCACAATCGCTGTTCCTTTCCTGACCTACCGACAGTCCCTTTGCCCACACGCGGGTGGGTGGGGCAGTGCCCGGGCCTGCCCCTGCCTGCCCACCCCCTTAGGGAGGAGGAGGAGTTTTGCAAAGGCCAGGAAGAATCCAATGAGGAAGCGCCAGGATGAAGAGAACCCCCAAAACACACACACACACACACGCACACGCACACACGAAGAAAAGAGCCTCCTTTTGTGTCGCGCGTAGATCTGGAACGGGACACAAATCTGTACGCTTGGGAAGTGGGGCATGCCGGCCCCTCCAGGCCACCTACGAGGGGGAATCAAGCATCTCTCACTGTCGTTTTCCTGCTTTGCTCTTCCTCCTCCTCCTCCTCCTCCTCCTCTTCCTCTCTGCAGCAAGGAAGAAGGTTACCAAGCCAAGCCACACACCCCTGACCAGCCCTATTTGACCGAAGACGGAGTCCGCTCTGCGCCACTGTATTTCAACAGGTGGCTGTAGTCTGTGAGGGTGTGCTGAGGGCCCGGCGTTGACGTCCGCTGGGCCCGGGCGTGGGCTGCCTGACCTTCCCCGCTGTTGAACGTGTGGGTGCGCCTCAGGTGAGTGCTCCCCTTGCTGCCCGTGCTGTTACTGTTGAAGTTTAGCTTCTCGGGATTCCACTGATTGCCCGTGTCCCCGCTCGGAGCGGATACAACCCGCCGCCGATCTGGACTGTCGTGCGGCGTGATAGGCAGCTCACTGCCGTACGAGCTCCGAGTCCCGCAGGGCCGGTGCACCAGTGGGCCTGGCTGTGGCTGGATGCTTCTCAGACCCTCGCCACCACTCACCGGGAGATAGCGCATGTCTAACGAGAGGTCTGTTCCTTCGCCGTCCAGTTCTTGGTCCATCAGGACAGACTGGCAGGAAATGGGGATGACTCGCCCGGAACTCAGGTGCGACGGCACCGGAGTGTGTCCCGTGTGGAGAAGGATAACCGAGGATGGTGGTTCTCCTGCGCGCAGGGAAGCGTTAATGAGATTGTGGCTATATTCCCAGCTGCACGGCTTGGGGTACCGTTTCTGCTGCAAGGGGGTCTGCTCTGGCGTGGGGAGTACCCCCGAATCGAGGTCGTGCTGGCCCATCTTAATCAGTCCTTTGGGCCATCCGTTCTGCATGAGCGGAGCCAATAGGTTTTCCGGTTGCCCGCCGGGTCCCCGGGAGCGCCGGTCTCCCAGCCGGCTGACGCTGACCACGGATTCGCCATGCGCAAGGATGTTCTCCTTGTCTCTGCGGCGGGCCAGCTCCTTGCGGTCTCGATGTCCGATGAACCAGCAGACGCTGAAGCCCGAGATCACTGCTCCGATGACGAAGGCAGCCATGGAAGAGATGACCAGCAAGTTGACGGACACCAGCCCATTGGGTTCATCCACAAAGCTTTCGGTCACCAGGCCTGTAGGAATAACGCAGAATAACAGGGGTGGAAGGGACCTTGGAGGTCTTCTAGTCCAACCCAAATTGGGGGCTACTCGCTGCACAACTGCCTTGCTTAATGTAACAAAGGGATTTTATGATGCTTAAGCTTGATATTAGTAATATTGATATTAGTAGGGGTACTCTGTAATCATTATATATACTTACATACATACATACATACATACATACATACATACATACATACATATATATACAGTATATATTTGTTTTCGTAGATTTTCACGGGTACAGGTATGCAGGTCTTGGCGTATTCGGGTCTTTTCCCGTGTAAGATTGAGAGTATCTTGGCGACGTTTCGATGAGGTCCCACTCGTCATCTTCATGCTGGGGTCTTCGGCTTCGTGCTTGTGCGAGCAAAGTGTGATCGGAGCTGCCCTCTCTCTATAAATATTGGTGGGGGTGTGTGGAGTGCTGGCTTAGTTGCTGTAGGTGGATTGGTTGGCTGTGTGGGAGCTATTGTTTGTGGATTGTTCAGCTGTTTTGTAACATCCTGAGTAGTACACAGTAGTACACAGCCAGCACCTCAACTACTCAGGATGTTACGAAACAGCTGAACAATCCGCAAACAATAGCTCCCACACAGCCAACCAATCCACCTACAGCAACTAAGCCAGCACTACACACCCCCCCACCAATATTTATAGAGAGACGGCAGCTCCGATCACACTTTGCTCGCACAAGCACAAAGCCGAAGACCCCAGCCTGAAGATGATTGCTTACGTGAAAAGAACACGGTAAGGGGAGGGGGAAACGGAGTTACAGATGGAGCCTGGGTTGCTGTGTAGGAGTCATCATCTTGGAATTGTTTTTTTGTGCTATCTTATGCCTGGTACCAAGACCTGATCTTTTTTGTTCTGGAAAGGTATAAAAGGTGGAAGACACCTTTCCTGGCTGTTGCCTTCATCTCGCCACCAGCCACAAAGAGAGATGGGGTCACCCAACTCCATTTTGATCAAAATAAAAGTTGTTTGCTTGCTGAAACCTCGGCTCAGGAGTTCCTTTTGGCTCTTTTAAATTCCTGAGTAAGGCTGGGACAATTGTGAGTCTAACTGGAAAACCTTACAGCAATATTATATTTCTGCAAGGGAATTCTGGGAGTTGAAGTTCACACAGCTGAAAGCTGCTATGGGGGCGAAACACTGTTCTAGGCTAAATGAAGCCAGTTTCTCTATTCCTCCTTTAAGAATAACAGAATATCAGAGTTGGAAGGGACCCCTGGAAGTCATCTAGTCCAACCCCCTGCTCAGGTAGGAAACCCTATACCATTTCAGACAAGTGGCTGTCCAGTCTCTTCTTGAAAACCTCCAGTGTTGGAGCATTCACAACTTCTGGAGGCAGGTGGTTCCACTGGTTAATTGTTTCTCACTGTCAGGAAATTTTTCCTTAATTCTAGGTTTGATCTTTTTTAATGATCTTCTTGTCCTGCCTTCAAGTGCTTTGGAGACTTCTTTTCTGTGGCAGCCCCTCCAATATTAGAGGACAGTTATCATATCACCCCACGTCCTTCTCTTCACTAAAATGAAATAAGTAGAAATAAAGTAAAATAAAATTGGCTGAGGTGTGACTGACCAATATGGCCTCAGAATTTTGTGGAATAAATACTACTCTTGTAGTATTTTATTTGTGTGCAGGTAGTCCTCAACGTATGACCACAATTGAGCCCCAAATTTACGTCGCTAAGTGAGGCAGTTGTTAAAGTGAATTTTGCCCCATTTTACGACCTTCCTGGCCACATTTTTTTTTTAAGCGAATCACTTCAGTTAATGTAATAACAGGGTCGCTAAGAGAATCCGGCTTCCCCATTTGACTTTGCTTGTCAGAAGGTCGCAAAAGGGGATCACGTGACTTTGGGACACTGCGAACCGTCATAAATACAAGTCAGTTAGCAAGCCTCTGAATTTTGATCACGTGACCACAGAGATGCTGCGACGGTTGCAACTGTGAAAAAAAACAGTGGTAAGTCATTTTGGAGAGCCCTTCGTCTGAAATGGCATAGGGCAGGGGTAGGCAACCTTGGCCCCCTCATGACTCATGGACTTCAACTCCCAGAATTCCTGAGCCAGCATGGCTCAGCTTGGAAACCTCTCCCTTTCCCCTCAGCATGGCTGGCTCAGGAATTCTGGGAGTTGAAGTCCACCAGTCATAAAAGGGCCAAGTTTGAAGACCCCTGCTCTTAATCTTTGTCCTAGGGTAGGGGTAGGCAACCTTGGCTCTTTTATGACTGGTGGACTTCAACTCCCAGAATTCCTGAGCCAGCATGGGGGAACTATGGCCCCCTCATGACTTGAGGACTTCAACTCCCAGAATTCCTGCGCCAGCAAGGCTCAGCATGGAAACCTCTCCCTTTCCCCTCAGCGTGGCTGGCTCAGGAATTCTGGGAGTTGAAGTCCACGAGTCATAAAAGGGCCAAGGTTGCCTACCCCTGGCATAGGGTTTCCTGCCTGAGCAGGGGGGTGGACTAGATGACCTCCAAGGTCCAACTTTATTATTCTTATTCTTATTAGTTTTTTGAGTAACTTTGAACAGTCACTAAACGAACTGTTGTAAGTCGAGGACCTCGTGACGTTTTATTTTTTTAATATTGTAAGCCGCCCAGTACTTACTACCTGGTAGTAAGACGGGCAGCTAATAAATGGGATAAATAAAGATAATTAAAAAGAAATAAACGATTTGTACTCCCTAGTTGAAGATGGCCTGTTTGTCAATCAGTCTGGGCCAGGGATAGGCAACCTTGGCTCTTTTATGACTCGTGGACTTCAACTCCCAGAATTCCTGAGCCAGCATGGCTCAGCTTGGAAACCTCTCCCTTTCCCCTCAGCGTGGCTGGCTCAGGAATTCTGGGAGTTGAAGTCCACGAGTCATGAAAGAGCCAAGGTTGCCGACCCCTGGGCTAGACAGTCACTTGTCTGAGATGGTATAGTGCAGGAATAGGCAACCTTGGCTCTTTTATGACTCGTGGACTTCAACTCCCAGAATTCCTGAGCCAGCATGGCTCAGCTTGGAAACCTCTCCATTTCTCCTCAACATGGCTGCCTCAGGAATTCTGGGAGTTGAAGTCCACGAGTCATAAAAGAGCCAAGGTTGCCTACCCCTGGTCTGGGCTTTCTATCAGGGTTAGGCAGTTAATCTCAGATCTCCAGGAACTGAACTCAAAAGTCAGAAACAGGCAGAATCAGCCAAAACTGGAAGATTTGACCTATGGACTCTGGAACCGGGAGTAACGCTCACCTTCACAGTCACCCAGATAGGCCGTCTTGACGCCACCAATGTCTTGTTCAAACGCCAGCCTGCAAATTCAGGGAGAAGGAGCTGTAAATGTTTATAGACCTTTCTGAGCATTTATTGGTTTTTAATTTTATTTATTTATCATATTGCCGTGACCACCCATCTCAGCTGCATGCCTCTGGGCAGCTGACCATTAAAACTGTAGAATTGTACGAAAAGCTCTCATATATCAATAAAGGAGAATATTTATAGCTCAGGGCTTAACTGTGGGGTCCCTGGTGCTCTCTGAGCCGGGTGGTTTCCTTGCAGATGTTTCATGATCCAACTAGGGAACATCATCAGTGCTAGAAGGGAGTCAGTGAGGTTTGTGGAGAGGAGGAGGAGGAGGAGGAGGAGGANAAGAAGAAGAAGAAGAAGAAGAAGAAGAAGAAGAAGAAGAAGAAGAAGAAGAAGAAGAAGAAGAAGAAGAAGAAGAAGAAGAAGAAGAAGAAGAAGAAGAAGAAGAAGAAGAAGAAGAAAAAGAAAAAGAAGAAGAAGGACTGTGGGATGCTTGGTGGTCTCTGAGCTGGGTAGTTTTCTTGCAGATGTTTCATGAGCCAACTACTAGAGAACATCATCAGTGCTAGAAAGGAAGGGGATTTATTGGGAGGAGGAGGAAGGAGGAGAAGGAGGAGGACTGTAAGATCCTTGATGCTCTCTAAGCTTGGTTCTTTTCTTGTAGATGTTTCATGACCCAACTAGGGAACATCATCAATGTTGGAAGGGAAGGGGGTTTATTGGGAGAAGGAGAAGGAAGGAGAAAGAGGAGGAGGAGGACTGTAGGGTCCTTGGTGATCTCAGTGATAGAAGGGAGGGGGTTTGTTTGGAGGAGGAGGAGGACTGTAAGGTCCTTGATGCTCTCTAAGCTTGGTTCTTTTCTTGCAGATGTTTCATGACCCAAGTAGGGAACATCATCAGTCTAGATTCTAGAAGGGAGTTGGGTTTGTTGGGAGGAGGAGGAGGAGGAGGAGGGAGAGGAGAAGGAGGAGGACCGCCCCCTAACAAGGCCCTCCAAATCCTCGCAATACCTGGTGTTGCGTTCCAGAAAAATACAAGATCCTTCCGGCGTCCAGCCGCAGTAGGGATCGTTGCTGGCCAAACAATTCCTGAAGGACGGAAGACAAAGGAGACGTCATGAGGAGGTGACTCAAACCCAGAGGGAGGAAGAGATCAAACTGGGACGCCGCCAAGACCCCTCTTCCTAACGCCACACCCCCCATGGGCAAGGACCCCGAATATCCACAGAGTTGGGTGCCTTGCAACTTTGCAAACTGGTCTTCAGTTCTGGTCTGTGAGGGCAGCACCTGGGGGAATTCTAGACTTATCTGTCAACCTGGAACTAAGGAGAAACTTCCTGACAGTGAAAACAATTAACCAGTGGAACAACCTGCCTCCAGAAGTGGTGAATGCTCCAACACTGGAAGTTTTTAAGAAGAGACTGGACAGCCATTTGTCCGAAATGGTATAGGGTTTCCTGCCTGAGCAGGGGGTTGGACTAGATGACCTCCAAGGTCCCTTCCAACTTTATCATTATCATCATCATCATCATCATCATTATCATTATTATTATCATTATCATCATTATTATCTCACCAGGCAAAGGGATTCAGTGTTTTCAGGGAGGGTTTGTGGAAGCCCTTGCAGTGAGCTACGGATAGGATCGACTTTTTTTGTTATTTTATTTTATTTTATTTATTTTATTTTTTGTATTTTATTTTATTATTATTTTATTATTATTTCATTTTATGTTATCTTATACATGATCTTACCTTATTTATTTTATTATTTTATTATTTTATTTTATTTTAATTTATTTTAATTTATTTTATTATTATTTTATTTTATACCTTATCTTATTTTATTTTATTTTATTTATTTCATTTTATCATTTCATTTCATACCTTATCTTACTTGATTTGATATTTTATTGTAATTTGATTTGTATCCCGCCTTTTTTAATATTTTATTACTAGCTGTACTCGGCCACGCGTTGCTGTGGCTCAGTCTGGTTAAATGGAAAAGAAAGAAAAGAGAAAGCGCACGTTTCTAATATGTTTAATTTCACAATGCTTGTGGGTATACCAACAGATGGCGCTGTTTTTCAAAAAAAGCATGTTTTTACCTTTTACCTGTCACAGGTGTGACATCTATATAATAGTAGGTATATAAAAACACGCGCGTATTCGAATGCAACGTTGTGTCAAAATTTCAAAGCAATCGGTGAAGAACTTTCGGAGATTTAAGATTTTGAACAAACGAACATTTACATTTTTATTTATATATAAGATAAGATTATATTTTGTTTTATACCTTATCTTATCTTATTTTATACCTTATCTTATCTTATTTATTTTATTTTTTATTTTATTTTATTTTTTTTTATTTTATTTATTTTATGATTATTTCATTTTATACCTTATCTTATTTTATTATTTTATTAATTTCATTTTATTATTTCATTTCCTTTCATACCTTATCTTATTTTATATTTTACTGTAATTTGATTTGTATCCCGCCTTTTTTATCTTATTTATTTTATGATTAAAAAAAATAACAACCTGGTGCTTAGTAAACAGCACATTGTCTGGGTTCACATTTCACAACAATTAATAATAGTCAATTTCTAGTGTATCGTATTCTACCTAACAGCTTTTCCTTGATTTCTCTTCTTCCCATATTGTTCTCTTTTGCAAACGTTAGGCTGATACACTTCTTAGTATTTTAATAGCAAAGAGGTTAAATATAAACGTTTTTCTAAACATTTATCCAATTAGCAATAGCATCAATATGGAACTTCTTTTCTAGTTAGTCCTCTTAGTTGCGTTATAGGCCCTGCTTTCAACGTTCTCCTTGAGACTTTCCCCCCACAAAATTGAAATCATTTTTATCTGTTCAGATTTTCTTTGCTAAATGCTAAATGCTAATTAGACTAAGTGGGACGGGGGGGGGGGGGACACCCATGTTGGGCTGAGCCGTCAGACCAGGGGTAGGCAACTTTGACTCTTTTATGACTGGTGGACTTCAACTCCCAGAATTCCTGAGCCAGCCATGCTGAGGGGAAAGGGAGAAGTTTCCAAGCTGAGCCATGCTGGCTGAGGAATTCTGGGAGTTGAAGTCCACGAGTCATAAAAGAGCCAAGGTTGCCTACCCCTGTACAAGACGATAGATAGATAGATAGATAGATAGATAGATAGATAGATAGATAGATAGATAGATAGATAGATAGATAGATAGACAGACAGACAGACAGACAGACAGACAGACAGACAGACAGACAGACAGACAGACCTAGACCTAGACCTAGACCTAGACCAGAGCTAGGCAACCTTGGCTCTTTTATGACTCGTGGACTTCAATTCCCAGAATTCCTCAACCAGTTTAATGAAGAGAAGGACGAGGGGGGACATGATAGCAGCCTTCCAATATCTCAGGGGCTACCCCAAAGAAGACGGAGTCAAGCTATTTTCCAAGGCGCTTGAAGGCAGGACAAGAAGCAACAGGTGGAAACTCACCAAGGAGAGAAGCAACCCAGAACTAAGGAGAAACTTCCTGACAGTGAGAACAATTAACCAGTGGAACTACCTGCCTCCAGCAACGGTGAATGCTCCAACACTGGAAGTTTTAAAGAAGAGACTGGACAGCCATTTGTCTGAAATGGTATAGGATTTCCTGCCTGGACTAGATGTCCTCTAAGGTCCCATCCAACATTATTGTTGTTGTTATTGTTATTATTGTTCATCGCACAGTCAGCCAGACTGGATTTGGAATTTTTGTCTACCTATGGAGTCCTTCCCAAGGACCTGGGATAGGCAGATGTGGATGTTTGATGGTATTACAGATATCGTGGCAGGATGGAAGCAGTTCCTAGTAAGGCCGCCTTTTGCAATTGACTAATGGCGAATTTGTCAATGCCAATGATGGTGTTCAAGTGGTGCTCCAGTTGTTTTGGGATTGCACCCAAGGCACCTATTACTATTGGTACTACCCTTGCTTTATTATTATTATTATTATTATTATTATTATTATTATTATTATTATTATTATTATTATTATTATTAATCCGATTCTGCAAACATCCTGTGCTTAGAGATGCAGCCTGGAATCCGTGTCTTGCTGTTTGGGATGAAATTTTAAGGGTTATTTTCTTCACGTTTGCAGAAAAAGAAAAAATCTCTTTGCAAGGGGTTTAAACGGACTTTACGGCTTTGAGAGGATTCGGTATAACAATGGCCTGTCCCGAAAAAGCATTCTTGCTTTTTGTCCCCAATTTCCAAATTCAACGTCGAACATTCTCAGCAAAGAATCCGAGGAACTCCGATTGAATTCTGCTCCACCTGCTCTGGAAAAAAACACCTCTCTGGGATTTTGACCTTCCGCTCTGCAGCGAGCCTGCCCATTTGCATTTATGTTTATTTCGGATTTTTTAAGAGCCTGCCTTCGGCTGTATCCTTGATTTTATTGCCAGCCCTTGTCCAGGGATCAAGCATTTCAGCCGAGAACCCGGTGAATAACAAGATTTTCATCGCTGGCAATTAAGTGCAAAAACCTGGCCAGGGCGGGAGAGGGGAGAAAAAGGCCACCGTGGTGGGTGATGAATGAAGCAAAGGTGCCTTTGCGGTCGCCACAGCCGACAGCGTTCTCTGATAATTGGTCAAAATCATCCGAGACAGATGCACGAGGCTGCGGACCGCATGCCTGAAATATGGCATTGATTGAACATGGTTGAAGAATATGGGCTGGCAAACGGGGGGGGGGGAGAGTTTAAGCTGAGCCACAAAGCTGTCTACTTGCAACATTTTTTTTAATGGGTGGAGGGCTGTAGTACCGGTGGTCTCTCGACTTACGACGTCGTAAGTGGTGAGGGTCATAAAGCGGGTCGTCACGTGAGCGACAGGGTTTTACGAGCGTTTTTGGGGAGAGCGATTCGTTCGTTATGTGAACCCATTGTTCGCTAGGGGGTGGCTTTGACAAGAAACAGAAGTAAATGCTGCTTTACGTCGACAAACGTGTCATAAATTAGGGTCACGTGATCAGAGGACACTGCAAGGGGATGGAAATGCAACGGTGGGATAGTATAGTGTTCAGAGGGAGGGACGGAGGAAGAAAGGAAAGAAGGAAGGAAGGAAAGGAAGGAGGAAGAAGAAGAGAAATGGAAGGAGGGAGGGAAAAGGAAGGAAGGAAGGAAGGAAGGATAAGGAAGGAGGGAAAAGGATAGGTAATGAAGGAGGGAGGGAGAGAAGGAAGGAAAAAGAAAGAGAAGGGAAAGAAAGGAAGGAAGTCAGGAGAAAGAAAGGAAAGAGAAGGAGGAAGGAAGGGTTGGGAGGGCGAAAGCATTTGTCCGAAATGGTATAAGGTTTCCTGCCTGAGCAGGGGGTTGGACTAGATGACCTCCAAGGTCCCTTCCAACTTTTTATTTATTTATTTATTTATTTATTTATTTATTTATTTATTATTATTATTATTATAGGGGGAGGGAACGAAGGAAAAAGAAAGAGAAGGGAAATAAAGAAAGGGAGAAAGGAAGGAAGGAGAGAAGGAGAGAAGGAAAGAAAGGAAAGAGAGACGAAGGAACTAAAAGACCAAAATGTACAGAATTGGCGTCGTTTATATTAATAGCTGCAAGGGTTTTTACATGCCTTTTTATTGGAAAAGTCCTTTGACTTCTTCTCTGGAGGAAAGGCTAACTAAACGTGGAAGTTTATCTCAATGTCCAGAATCACCTTGTATTTAAAAAAAAAAAAAAAAAGAAAGAAATTTGACCTGGAATTTTTAATTGGGGAAACCATTCTCGGGCTACAATTTTATACACGCAATTGGGCCGCGTCGGAAAATTTGGGCTTCAAAGCCCTTCTTTTAATTTGATGTATAATTTATAGTACAGTATCGAGCTGATGCATTATTTATTACCTACAGTTTCCTTTTAATGAGCCGAAAAGTGCTAAGCAAGCATTTTATTTATTTTTTGCTCAAAACGGAACAGCTTTATGGATGTTGCTTAGGAAATGGATATAAGATATCTCATAACACGGGGAACTTCTAATGGCGTAAAGTAATATATTAAATTTAGGAGAGCTCAGATTTGTACTTTATCTGCCTGTGTTTCTTTCCCTGTACACCACTGTTTCTTGGCAGCTTGAATATGGGTGGACTTAAGGCAGGACTAGAACTCACCGTCTCCCGGTGACTGACCCAAAGTTACCCACCGGGCTTTCCTGCCTGAAGTGGGGCTAGAACTCTCTGTCTCCTAGTGATTGGCCCAAAGTCACCCAGCCGGCTTTCATACCTAAGGTGGGACTAGAATTCACAGTCTCCTAGTGATTGGCCTAAAGTCACTATGCCGGCTTTCATGCTGAGGGCAGGTCTAGAACTCCCCATTTCCAGTTATTGGCCTAAAGTCACCCAGTTGGCTTTCATGCCTCAAGCAGGACTACAACTCACCATCTCCCGGTGATTGGCCCAAAGTCACCCAGTTGGCTTTCCTGCCTGAGGTGGAGCTAGAACTCACTGTCTCCTGGTGATTGGCCCAAAGTAACCTAGCCAGCTTTCATACCTAAGGTGGGACTAGAACTCACAGTCTCCTGGTGATTGGCCGAAAGTCACTTAGCCAGATTTCATACCTAAGGTGGGACTAGAACTCACAGTCTCCTAGTGATTGGCCCAAAGTCACCCAATTGGCTTTCATGCCTAAAGCAGGACTAGAACTCACCATCTCCTAGTGTCTGGCGTAAAATTACCCAGCTGGCTTTCCTGCCTGAGGTTGGGCTAGAACTCACTGTCTCCTGGTGATTGGCCCAAAGTCACCTAGCCAGCTTTCATACCTAAGGTGGGATTAGAACTCACAGTCTCCTAGTGATTGGCCGAAAGTCACTATGCCGGCTTTCATGCTGAGGGCAGGTCTAGAACTCCCCAACTCTCAGTGATTGGCCTAAAGTCACCAGCTGATTTTCATGCCTAAAGCAGGACTAGAACTCACCATCTCCCGATCACTGGCCCTAAGGCACCTAACCAGCTTTCACGCGTTAAGGCGGGACTAGAACTCACCATCTCCTGGTTTCCAGGCCATTGCTTTAACCACTAGGCCAACGGTTCTCAACCTATGGGTTGCGACCCCATTTGGGGTCAATCGACCATTTCACGGGGGTCGCCAAGCAAGGCTGTCCACCATTTTTTTTGTCTGCCATTTTTTTTCCCCTTTTCCGGCGGGTGCCTTACCTCCCTTGGGCTGGGCCAGCTGGTGGTCGGCCTGCTCCGTCTCTGCCGCTTGCCAGCTACGCCTCGGCCGGCGCAGGGGGCGGAGCCACGCATGCGCGGCGCTCCCGGGCAGGGAAAGTCCTCGACTTACGACCGATTGGGTAGTCCTCGGCTTACAACCGGTTTAGTCCTCGACTTACGACCGGTTGGGGGTCGCGGCATTAAAAAGGTTGAGAACCACTGCACTAGGCCAGGGATAGGCAACCTTGGCTCTTTTATGACTTGTGGACTTCAACTCCCAGAATTCCCGAGCCAGCTTGGCTCAGCTTGGAAATCTCCCTTTCCCCTCAGCGTGGCTGGCTCAGGAATTCTGGGAGTTGAAGTCCACGAGTCATAAAAGAGCCAAGGTTGCCTTCCCCTGCCCTAGGCCAAACCCGCTCTCAACTTGCTGGGGAAATCCCACTGACTGGCGTGACTCGATTTCCCCTGTGTGGTATCTGTTTCGTGGGGAATCCCTGCCCTCCCACGGGCCGAACGCCCCCCCCCCGGCCCCAGCTCAGCAGCAGCAAAAGTGGGACTCACTTCATACAGGTGGAGTGCTGGTGGCACCTGGCCACTGGGGCCCGTACGACGCAGGGCGGGAAGGCCAGCAGCAGCGACCCCGTGGCCTTGTCTAGCTCCATGCTCAGTAGTTTCCTTTCGCCGGTCCCGTCCTTGCCGCACCTCGGAAAAGAGGAAGAGGATTGTGGGTTGAAAGACTCAGCCGGAGGTTTAGGCTGGATTTGCTGTGTTTATCCACCCGTCGAGTCCTTCCGAAAGGCTCAGGGGGTTATTATCGTCATTTATTATATATGTATATGTGCCAGTGGTGGCGAACCTATGGCACGGGTGCCAGAGGTGGCACTCAGAGCCCTCTCTGTGGGCACGCGCGGCGGCGTCCCTGTCCTAGGCCTTCAGCTGGGTTTTATAAAACCTTTTCACTTTAGGCCTCTGATGCCGTGTACCAAAAAAAAAAGGTTCAATCAATCAGTCAATTTCAACTTCTCGTGGGAAAAAAAAGATCTTGCAAAGTTGGGATTGATTGAACTTTTTAGTCCCATCCAGTCTGCCGTTACCACTGCAGCCACGCCCACCTAATGGGCCACACCCACCCAATGGGCCACACCCACCCAATGGGCCACGCCCACCCAATGGGCCACACCCACCCAATGGGCCACACCCACCCAATGGGCCACGCCCACCCGGCACTTGACGATGCATAAGTGGGTTTTAGGTTGCAGTTTGGGCACTCGGTCTCTAAAAGGTTCGCCATCACTGATATATCCCATCCAAGGCGTAAGAACTCGGAGAGTGGTGGCAGTGAGTTTTGAAATAAAAATGCGAAAGAAAGAAACAAAAAGAAAGGCAAAAATGAAAAATGTCTTTGTGAGTCTCCCTGAGTTGTGTTTTAAGGTGGGAAGCTCTACAGGTCTAAATAAAAGAAAATGAAATAAAATAATTCACAGAATTCCCCAGCCAGCATGGATGGACTTCAACTCCCAGAATTCTCTACGCAGCGCAGGTGGACTTCAACTCCCAGAATTCCTCAGTCAGCATGAGTGGACTTCAACTCCCAGAATTCCCCAGGCAGCATGGGTGCAGTCCTAACTCCCAGAATTCCTCAGCCAGCATAGATGAACTTCAACTCCCAGAATTCCTCAGTCAACATGGGTGCAGTCTTAACTCCCAGAATTCCCCAGCCAGCATGAGTGGACTTTAACTCCCAGAATTCCCCAGCCAGCATGGGTGGACTTCAACTCCCAGAATCCCCCAGCCAGCATGGGTGCAGTCCTAACTCCCAGAATTCCCCAGCCAGCATGAGTGGACTTTAACTCCCAGAATTCCTCAGTCAACATGGGTGCAGTCCTAACTCCCAGAATCCCCCAGCCAGCATGAGTGGACTTCAACTCCCAGAATCCCCCAGCCAGCATGGGTGCAGTCCTAACTCCCAGAATTCTCCAGCCAGCATGGATGGACTTCAACTCCCAGAATCCCCCAGCCAGCATGGGTGCAGTCCTAACTCCCAGAATTCCCCAGCCAGTATGGGTAGACTTCAACTCCCAGAATTCTCTACCCAGCCTTGTTGCTTCCGCCCTGAACTCTGAAAAACCGAGGGGCGTGCATGTCGTCTCTGTGGCCGCACAAGTGTGTTTTGTCGGTTTCGACTCACTTGTCGCTGGGGTAGGTCTCAAATTCCTCCAGCAGCAAGCTGTGGGCCCTGGCTCGGGCGGCAGAAGAGCCGGCACTGAGGTTGGCGCGGATGAGAAATTTTAGGACGGTTCCCGAATCGGAGCCCAGGAAGACGACGGTGTAGTTCCTGCCCGGTCCGGCTGTGTTGTCCGCCACAATCTTCCGGAGTTGGTACCTGCCGGGAAAGGATGGAGGATAATCAGCCAGACACAGAATTAGCCCACTGGGCCAGGTTCGTTACAGCCTTTTTTGATCCCACCTGGATTATTTTTATAAATACAGGCAGTCCTCGACTTACAACGGTTCGTTTCAGTTGCGGCGGCACTGAAAAAAGGTGACTTAGGACCGTTGTTCACACTTACGACCGTCGCAGCATCCCTGTGGGCAGCTGATCAGAATTCAGACGTTTGGCGACCGACGGTCGCAGTGTCCCGGGGTGGTGTGATTCCCTTTTTACGAACTTCCGACAAGCATCGTCAAGGGGGAAGCCAGATTCACTTAACAACCACGTGACTCGCTTCACAACTGCAGCGATTCGCTTAGCAACGGTGGCGAGAAAAGTCATAAAACGGGGCAAAACTCGCTTAACAACCGTCTCGCTTAGCGACAGAAATTTTGTTGTGGTTCAAAATCAAGAACAATCTATCTTTATTATGGGAATGGATCACAAATATGGGGCTGGATCGTAAATATGGGGCTCCATGACGGTCGTAACTTGACGACTACTTATATTCTATATCCGTTGTTCCGGCGGTTTTCCTACATTCGGCCTTCCCACTCCGAGAGCGGTTGGGGAAGGGGAGAAACGCTCTGGATAGGACAGTTGAATAAAACAGGATTAAATCAGTGTTTGCGCCCTTCCCAAAGATCTCAGACAGGGTTTCCTGCCTGAGCAGGGGGTTGGACTAGGTGACCTCCAAGGTCCCTTCCAACTTTATTGTTTTTGTTGTTATTATTATTATTATTATTATTACTACTACTACTACTACAATTATTATGGATCATCGCACAGTCAGCCAGATGTTCAGACTAGATTTGGCATTTTTGGCTACCTATCGAGTCCTTACCAAGGACCTGGGAGAGGCAGATGTGGATGTTTGATGGTATTACAGATATTGTCGCAGGATGGAGGCAGTTCCTAGTAAGGCTGCCTTTTGCAATTGACTAATGGCGAATTTGTCAATGTCGATGGTGTTCAAGTGGTGCTCCAGTTGTTTTGGGATTGCACCCAAGGCGCCTATGACTATTGGTACCACCCTTGCTTGCTTTTGCCACAGTCTTTCTATTTCTATTTGTAGGTCTTTGTATTTTGTTATCTTCTAACAGTTCTTTCTCGTCTATTCTGCTGTCTCCAGGCACTGCCACCTCCACTATCCAGACTTTTTTGTCTTACTTATCGACAATTGTTAAGTCCGGGGTGTTATGTTGCATGTACTACATCATCATCATCATCATCATCATCATCATCATCATCATCATCATCATCATTATTATTACTACTACTACTACTACTACTACTATTACTACTACTACTACTACTATTATTATTATTATTATTATTATTACAGCTGTTAGGTTGAAGAATCAAAGGATCAAATTACGGAACATCGCTGGATCGGTACAGCGGATATGGGGGAAAAAAAATCCAGAAAGTTAATTAGTGAAAAAAAATTGACGGTGTCATTACAGCCGTTATGATTCCCAATTCACTGTGGCTGATTTGCATATGAAGGCAGAGGAAACAAAGATGGGCGGGGCCCGGCGCAGGAGGGGAGGAGTCACCCTGCCACCCCTGCAGGTTTTTTTTAAAAAAATACAGCTGCAAAATAAGGTTGTTTTCTTCGCCAGGGCCACAAGGTTGTTTACACACACACACACAGATAAATTGTCCTCCGCACAGTTGTAAAAACAGCCAAGCCACGTGCGCGAAACAACTCAACCCCCCCCCCGCTCCCCCTGCAAATGCCATCTCCTGGTGTGCAATTTTTGCAAGAGGACAGAAATAATGCTTGATTAATTTCACATAAAACAGCAATTAGGACAGATTTAATTAGATCCAGACGGTCTTGGCTGAGACGCTTAGGAAATTAAGAGAAGCGAGCGCTTCCCTCCGATCTCCTCCACCTGCCTGGGGGGGCAGAAACAATAATCTAGGTAAATTGATGGCAAGACCGGCCGTAGTGTAGCTACAAAGAGCCCTCAACTTACGACCGTTCGCTTAGCGACCAAAATTACGACGGAACTGGAAAAAAAGTTTTTCACACTAACGGCCGTTGCAGCCTCCCCGCGATCAGGGGAGCCAAATTCAGACGCTTGGCAACCAGTTCGTATTTACGACGGTCGCATTGTCCTTGGGGGGGGTGTCATGTGATCCCCTTTCGCGACCTTCCGACAAGCAAAGTCCATGGGGGAAGCCAGATTCGCTTAGCGACCGTGTGACTCAATAACGGCAGGGATTCACTTACCAACGGTGGCAAGGAAGGTGGTAAAACACGGCAAAATGAGCTTAATGACCGTCGTGCTTAGCCGTACGTAGAAATTTGGGGTGCAATGGGGGTCGTAAGTGCGAGGACTGTTTTTATGGCTTCGGTGAGGAGATTGCCAGATGTTGCTGCATGCAACAGATAGAAGGAGCCAAAGTCCTGGCTAGCCCACATCTGGGAAGCTACCTATTAAACCCTGTCTGGGGGTGCGGAAAGGTCATTGTGATAATTGGGTACGTCTCTAGTTTAATGAAGAGAAGGACGAGGGGGGACATGATAGCAGTGTTCCAGTATCTCAGGGGCTGCCCCAAAGAAGAGGCAGTCAAGCTATTCTTCAAAGCACCTGAAGGCAGGACAAGAAGCAATGGATGGAAACTAAATCAAGGAGAGAAGCAACCTAGACTAAGAAGAAACTTCCTGACAGTGAGAACAATTAACCAGTGGAACCACTTGCCTCCAGAAGCGGTGAATGCTCCAACACTGGAAGTTTTTAAGAAGAGACTGGACAGCCATTTGTCCGAAATGGTGTAGGGTTTCCTGCCTGAGCAGGGGGTTGGACTAGAAGACTAGAAGAGAAGCAACCTGGAATTAAGGAGAAACTTCCTGACAGTGAGGACAATTAAACAGTGGAACAACTTGCCTCCAGAAATTGTGAGCTCTCCATCACTGGAGATTTTTAAGAAAAGGCTAGACAATCACCTGTCTGAAATGGTATAAGTTCTCCTGCTTGAGCGGGCAACTGGACTAGAAGGCCTCCAAGGTCCCTTCCATCTCTATTCTATTCTATTCTGTTCTGTTCTGTTCTGTTCTACCCTATTCTAAAATTCCATATTCTATTCTATTCTATTCTATTCTATTCTATTCTATTCTAAAATTCCATATTCTATTCTATTCTATTTTATTCTTATTATTCTATTCCATATTTTCTTTTCTTTTCTATTCTATTCTATATTTTATATTCTATTCTATATTCTATATTCTATTCTATTCTATGCTAAAATTCTATATTCTATTCTATTCTATTCTATTCTATTCTATTCTATTCTATTCTATTCTATTTCTTCCATATTCTATTCTATTCTATTCTATTCTATTCTAAAATTCCATATTCTATTCTATTCTATTTTATTCTTATTATTCTATTCCATATTTTCTTTTCTTTTCTATTCTATTCTATTCTATATTTTATATTCTATTCTATATTCTATATTCTATTCTATTCTATTCTAAAATTCTATATTCTATTCTATTCTGTTCTATTCTATTCTATTCTATTCTATTCTATTCTATTCTATTCTATTCTATTCTATTCTATTCTATTCTATTCTATTCTATATTCTATTCTATTCTCAATAAAGATTCTATTCTATTCTATTCCATTCTATTCTATTCTACAATCTATTCCATTCCATTCCATTCCATTCCTCCAAGGTCCCTTCCAACTTTGTTATTCTGTTCTGTTCTATTCCATAAAGCAAGATTAACTTGGTTAATCGGGAGGCTTATTTCGGAAACATCAAAGGCTCGTTTCAGGAAAGGCCTCTCGTTGCTGTACAAGCGAATCCTGCTTCAAATGCTTCCTTTGCCTGCGGCCTCCATCTTCTCCCTCGCCTGCAAATCGAAGCAGATGTCACGGCTTAATTGGCTGAAACTTACACCGTTAAGCACCCCGAAGGGAGAGAGAGAGAGCTCCCTCCGAAAAAGCAGATGAGGGGGGGGGCTGCTCTTTATTTATTTACATTTCGCGGTTTATTTCCAGGGCGTCCTCGACATACGACCGCCGCGGAGCCCGAAATTTCCGTCGCTAAGCGAGACAGTTCTTCAGCGATCTTTTCTTCATTTCGGCCCCTTTCTTTGCCTCAGTTGTTAAGCTAATTAAGCAGTTAAGTTAATTTTTTTTAAGTGAATCTGGCTTCACTTTGCTTGTCGGAAGGTGGCAAAAGGGGATCACGTTTCTCGCGGGACGCTGCGACCGTCGTAAATGCGAGTCGGTGGCCGAGCGTCTGAATTTGGATGGCGTGAGCACGGGGACACTGCGACCGACCGTCGTAAGTGTGAAAAAACGGTCGTAACTCACTTTTTCCAGTGCCGTTGTAACTTTGAACGGTCACTAAATGAGTAGTTGTAAGTCGGGAACTCCCTGTATTTATGTAAAGAATTTAGAGGCCGCCTGGACAACTTACAGCGAGAAAAGCAAAATGGATTGCAGGCCCTCCGGTCCTGTTGGATCAACAACAAGCAGAAAGAACAGCAGCAAAAAGGCAACAAAAATTCACAAGCGGCGCAAAGAGAAACGGAGACGGAGAGTCCTCGACTTATGGCCGGTTGTTTAGCAACTGTTCGAAGTTACCACCCAGCCCTGGAGCTGAAGTCCCAATGGCCGCCCTCCCCTGTGGTCACATGACCGAATTTCAGGTAATAGCCGTTTGACAAATCTGGTGGTCAGGTGACGACGTTTTACAACGGTTTTTAGGTTTGTGGCAAAACGAAACTAGCTTAGCGACTGGAGGAAGGAGGAGGAAGAGGAGAAGGAGGGAGGGGAGGGGAGGAGAGGAAGGAGGAGGAAGAAAATGCAGATGGAGGAGGAGGAGGAGAGAGAAGGAGGAAGCAGAAGAAGGAGGAGGAGGAGGAGGAGGAGAGAAGAGGAAGAGGAGAGAGAAGGAGATGAGGAAGGAGAAGCAGCAGAAGAAGAAACAGAAGGAGGAGGAAGGAGAATGAGAAGAAGAAGAAGAAGAAGAAGAAGAAGAAGAAGAAGAAGAAGAAGAAGAAGAGGAAGAAGAAGAAGAAGAAGAAGAAGAAGAAGAAGAAGAAGAAGAAGAAGAAGAGGAGGAGGAGGAGGAGGAGGAGGAGGAGGAGGAGGAAGGAGAAGCAGCAGAAGAAGCAGAAAGAGGAGAGGAGGAGGAGGAGGAGAAGGAAGAATGAGAAGCAGCAGAAGAAGCAGAAGCAGAAGAAGAAGAAGAAGAAGAAGAAGGAGAAGGAGAAGGAGAAGGAGAAGGAGAAGGAGAAGCAGAAGCAGAAGAAGAAGAGGAGAGAAGGAGAAGAAGAAGAGGAGGAGAAGGAGGAGGAAGAGGGAGAAAGAGGAGGAAGAGGAAGAAGAAGAAGCAAAAGCAGAAGAAAAAGAAAAGGAAGAAGCAGCAGAAGAAGAATCAAAAGGAGGAGGAGGAGAGAAGGAGAAGAAGAGGAGGAGGAAGAGGAAGAAGAAGCAAAAGCAGAAAAAGAAAAGGAAGAAGCAGCAGAAGAAGAAGCAAAAGGAGGAGGAGGAAAGAAGGAGAAGAAGAAGAGGAGGAGGAGGAGGAGGAAGGAAGGAGAATGAGAAGCAGAAGAAGCAGAAACAGAAGAAGAAGAGGAGGAGGAGGAGGAGGAGGAGTTGTTGTTGTTTACTATTCCTCATTGCTCACCGAGCCACGCTCCGGATGATCCAAGGGGCGTTTCCCAGGGATGGGACCGACTCGTCCATCAGGGGATGCGTCTTGACAAAGTTGAGGATCTCGTCGGGAAAAAGACTGGAGGAGTTGTGCTGCATTCCAGGCACCGCACAACAACCTGGTCTGGGGAACAAAAGAGGAGACCGTGAGATGCAGGACAACGGAAGACGGGCGACGTTTGGGGGGATCGTTTGCCTGACCCCTTTCTCCCCTGGGTCATCAGCCACCCCTACAACGTCCCTCACTGGTTATCCCGTCCTTGTACAGGTCATCTTGGACTTGCAATCCTTCGTTCAGCGACCGTTTGAAGTTACGACGGCGTCGAGAAAAGGGACTTAAGAACGGTTTTCACACAACCGCTGGCAGCGTGATCAAACTTCGGACGCTTGGCAAATGACATGCACTTACGACGGTCGCGGCCTCTCGGGGGTCGTGCGTTCCGCTTTGGCGACCTTCCGACAAGCCGAGTCAACGGGGGAAGCCAGGTTCGCTTCACCGCCGCGTCACTCATTTAACAACGGCGGTGATTCGCTTAACGATGTTGGCAAAGAAGGTCGTAAAATGAGACGAAAGTCTTTTTTCAACAACTGGCAGGTATTTCTGACAGCTGTGGCATCCCAGGGTCATGGGTTCGGTTTCTGCAACCTTCCAACTAGCCAGGTCAAGGGAAGAAGTCAGAAGGTCACCCAAGGGGGATTTACAGGACCCCGTCGTAAATGTGAGTCAGGGGCCTAGCGTCTGAATTTTGATCAGGTGGCCAACAGGGATGCTGCGACACTTGTAAGTGTGGAAAAATACTTGTAAGTCACTTTTTTCGGGGCTGTTGTAACTTAGTGGTTACTAAATGAATGAGTGTAAGTCAAGGACTACCCCTATGATATGTGCAGTTGCAGAGAAATTGACCCTGAGGTCAGTTGAAAGACTGAGGAGCCTCAGGGTCAATTTCTCTGCAACTGCACATATCATAGGGGTAGTCCTTGACTTACACTCATTCATTTAGTAACCACTAAGTTGTTTTTCCTTTGAAGATGTTTCGCTTCTCCTCCCAGAAGTTTCTTCAGCTCTGACTGGATGGTGGGGAGTGGAAGGATTTATACTCCTTGCAGACAGCTGGTCATTTGCCTCCTTTTAGAGAGTTGTGGAGGCCACTTGGAGATTTATCTCTGTGTCCTCTGGGTCATCTGAGTGGTGCAAATGGGTGTGGAGCCCATTTTGGTTTGTTCTCCTATGTTGTGCATTTAAACACACAATACAACATAGGGCAGGGGTAGGCAACCTTGGCTCTTTTATGACTCGTGGACTTCAACTCCCAGAATTCCTGAGCCTGCATGGGGGAACTATGGCCCCTTCATGACTCGCGGACTTCAAATCCCAGAATTCCTGAGCCAGCATGGCTCAGCTTGGAAACCTCTCCATTTCTCCTCAGCGTGGCTGGCTCAGGAATTCTGGGAGTTGAAGTCCACGAGTCATAAGAGAGCCGAGGTTGCCTAGCCCTGACATAGGAGAACAAATCCATCAGGACAAGATTCAACAGTTCATCTGCAATTAAAAGGCAAAGGACCCTCTTTCCAAGACAGCCAGGCCCACATTTTGGATGGAGAGGACCGCTGGTTTGAAAGAGGGGTCAAAGAGGCCGTCTAGGCCAGCATGAGGCAACCTTGGCTCTTTTATGACTTGTGAACTTCAACTCCCAGAATTCCTGAGCCAGCCATGCTGAGGGGACAGGGAGAGGTTTCCAAGCTAAGCCATGCTGGCTTAGGAATTCTGGGAGTTGAAGTCCACGAGTCATAAAAGAGCCAAGGTTGCCTACCCCTGGTGTAGGTCAAAATTAAACAGCCCTCTCTCAACAGAGGGGGAGGGATACGGCATCATCTATCGTCTGTATCATGGTTCCGACAGATGAAACTCTTCAAAAGAACTTCGAGGCCTTGTTTTACCTTAAAGAATCTTTGAGTAGCATAATATCGGCACTGCATAATCGAAGCCAAAAACTGAATTCCCCTCCCCTGAGCACATAGTATCAAAGCACAATTCCCTCCTCCAATTAACAGTCATAAATCACATTCCCCAAATTAGCTTGAAATGCAGGCTTCCTCTCCAGTTCTCCAGCCCGCCAATTCCTTATCAGCTCTGGTTACAATAACCTTGATTCTCATACTAGATTTAGTGTTGTTATGTCTAGCTGGACTCTCGTTCACATCCCCCCCCTCCAGCATCATCTAACTCTAAAAGCGAAAGGAAAAAGATGGCTAGATTTCCATCTGTTGTCAATGCAAAAACATGTTAGCAGCGTTGACAGCCTGTTTATAACACGGTCTTTTCAGCAGTTCCAAGAAGGCTCCACACCCATTTGCACCACTCAGGTGATCCTGAGCACAAAGGTAAACCTCCAAGTGGCCTCAATAACTCTCTAAAAGAATGCAAATAGAATAGAAAATAGAATAGAATAGAATAATTATATGACTAGTCCTTTCAGCACTTCCAAGAAGGCTCCACACTCATTTGCAACACTCAGCTGACCCTGAGGACACAGATAAACCTCCGAGTGGCCTCAACGACCCTCCAAAAGAATGAAAATGACCAGCTGTCTGCAAGGAGTATAAATCCTTCCCTTCCAAACCATCCAGTCAGAGCTGAAGAAGCTTTTTGGATGAGAAGCGAAACGTCTTCAAAGGAAAAACAAGAAAGTCCAGTTGCCTCCTGAAAAAAAACCCCACACCTTTGGGATTTCCACAGTGGCGTTTTTGTGGCACCTGTGGTTTCTATGGGATCTGTGGTTTATTCTCTTACCGTGGTTTAGGAACCAGCTCTTCCGGTACCGGGGTCCAAATGGATTCAGGAGATTTTTGCTCTCGAAAGCGACCTTCAAAAACGGCTGCAATTTGGGCCATGTCGTAGGCGCAGACGGCTGAGCCGGGAATGCTGCAAGACAGACACACACACACAGACAAACATGTGTCAGGGAGGAAAACTGGGTAGCTCTGGATCGCCAGACTGCAGTTGCGTTTCGGAGCCTACCCCCAAAAATCGTGGGTGCTCCATCATTGGAGATTTTTAAGAAGAGACTAGACAATCACCTGTCTGAGATGGTGTAGGTTCTCCTGCTTGAGCAGGGGGCTGGACTAGAAGACCTCCAAGGTCCCTTCCAGCTCTATTCTATTCTATTCTATTCTATTCTATTCTATTCTATTCTATTCTATATTTTCTATTCTATTCTATTCTGTTCTGTTCTGTTCTATTCTTAAATTCCATATTCTATTCTATTCTATTCTATTCTATTCTCTGATTCTATTCTTTCATTCCTTATTCTATTCTATTCTATTCTATTCTATTCTATTCTATTCTATTCTATTCTATTCTATTCTATTCTCTGATTCTATTCTGATTCTATTCTTCCATTCCTTATTCTATTCTATTCTATTCTATTCTATTCTATTCTATTCTATTCTATTCTATTCTATTCTATTCTATTCTATTCTATTCTCTGATTCTATTCTGATTCTATTCTTCCATTCCATATTCTATTCTATTCTATTCTATTCTATTCTATTCTATTCTATTCTCTGATTCTATTCTATTCTATTCTTTCATTCCTTATTCTATTCTATTCTATTCTATTCTATTCTATTCTATTCTATTCTATTCTATTCTATTCTATTCTATTCTATTCTCTGATTCTATTCTATTCTTCCATTCCATCCATCCATCAATCAGAATAGAGCTGGAAGGGACCTTGGAGGTCATCTAGTCCAACCCCCTGCTCAGGCAGGAAACCCTGTATACCATTTCAGACAAATGGCTGTCCAGTCTCTTCTTCAAAACTTCCAGTGTTGGAGCATTCACTGCTTCTGGAGGCAGGTTGTTCCACTGGTTAATTGTTCTCACTGTCAGGAAGTTTCTCCTTAGTTCTAGGTTGCTTCTCTCTTTGGTTAGTTTCCATCCATTGCTTCTTGTCCTGCCTTCAGGCGCTTTGGAGAATAGCTTGACTCCCTCTTCTTTGGGGTAGCCCCTGAGATACTGGAAGGCTGCTATGAGGTCTCTACTCCTTCTTTTCACTAGACCAGACTAGATATAGATATAGATAGCGGGACTGGCTGAGGAATTCTGGAAGTTAAAGCCCACCAGTCTTAAAGTTGCCAGGTTTGAAGACCCCTTTTTCTACACGATGCCCACCTCAACCATCCAGCTCACCTGTTGGTGGGGGTGGAGAAGACAGCCAGCACCATCGGCCTGCCCTCGATCTCCAAAATGTCCGTGACCGACTGGATGACGTTGAAGTAGAAGTGAGAGTCTCCCGGGACGGAGCAGTTCAGACGAGCCTTGAGGAAGGAAGTCCACTGTTTCTCCAGCACCCTCTGGGACCCCCCCATGTCGTTCTTGCACACTCGGGCCACCCGGGAAACCACCATCTGCGTGGGGGAGAAGAAAGGAGGGAAGCTGGATTTCTCCGGGATTCTGTTTGAATTGGGCAAAGGACAGGAGGGTTGTACAAGAATGTCCTCTTCGTATCTGCCCTGGGTTTGGCTTTTCCTTCTAGACAAGGGGGAGGGAGGGATGGATGGATGGATGGATAGAAAGATAGATGATAGATAGATAGATAGATAGATAGATAGATAGATAGATAGATAGATAGATAGATAGATAGATAGATAGATAGATAGATAGATATAGATAGATAGATAGATAGATAGATATAGATGGATAGATAGATAGATAGATAGATATAGATAGATAGATAGATAGATAGATAGATAGATAGATATAGATGGATAGATAGATAGATAGATAGATAGATAGATACAGATAGATAGATAGAGATGGATAGATAGAGATAGATAGAGATAGAGATAGATAGATAGATAGATAAATAGAGATGGATGGATAGATAGATAGATAGATAGATAGATAGATAGATAGAGATGGATAGATAGATAGAGATAGATAGAGATGGATATAATAATAATAATAATAATAATAATAATAATAATAATAATAATAATAATAGTAGTAGTAGTAGTAGTAGTAGTAGTAGTAAAGTTGGAAGGGACCTTGAAGGTCATCTAGTCCAATCCCCTGCTCAGGCAGGAAACCCTATACCATTTCAGACAAATGGCTGTCCAGTCTCTTCTTAAAAACTTCCAGTATATAGATAGATAGAGATGGATAGAGATAGAGAGATAGAGATGGATAGAGAGAGATAGAGGGAGACAGATAGAGAGATAGATAGATAAATAGAGATGGATGGATAGATAGATAGATAAATAGAGATGGATAGATAGATAGATAGATAGATAGATAGATATGATAGAGATAATAGACAGAGAGATTGACAGAGCGACAGAGCAATAGATAGAAAGATAGATATAGACAGAAAGAGATAGACAGACAGACAGACAGACAGAGAGGTAAATAGAGAGATATAGATAGATGGATGGATGGATGGATGGATGGATGGATGGATAGATCGATAGATGTAGACAGAAACATAAATAGATAGATATAGATAGATCGATAGATATAGATCGATAGATAGATATAGACAGAAAGATTAATAGATCGATATAGATAGATCGATAGATATAGATCGATAGATATAGATAGATCAATAGAGCAATAGATAGATAGGAGGGTAAATAGGGATAGATTTATTTATTGATTTATTTATTTATTTATTAAATTTATATACCGCCCTATCTCCCTTACGGGACTCAGGGCGGTGAACAGGCGATACTAAAAACCACGATAATAAATAAATAGTTTCTGTTCTAAAATCGAATTAAATAACATAGATAGATAGATAGATAGATAGATATAGATGGATGGATGGATGGATCGATAGATATAGACAGATGGAAAGATAAATAGATAGACAGACAGACAGACAGACGGATAGATGCACAATACAAATACGGAATAACTCAGTTGGAAGAGACCTTTGAGGTCTTCTAGTCCAGCGATGCCAGTGCAGGGGGGGGGAGCCCCCTCGTCTTTGTGGCAGCCCCTCAGATATTGGAAGACTGCTACCCTGTCCCCACTGGTCCTTCTCTTCGTTAGACTAGACATACCCAATCCCTGCCATCGACTATTCGAATTCGCAATGGCCCTGAAAAAAGTCCATTGCAACCGGTCCTCACACTTACGACCGTCACGGTTTCCTCACTATCAAAATTCAGGTAAGGCAACCAGCATGTATTTACTGATGGTTGCAGCACCTCGGGTTCACGCAATCCCCATCTGAAGGAACTTGACTTAGCTGAAAGTCCAGGGGAGGGTAGCCAGGCTCACTTAACAACGGCACAATTTGCTTAACAATGGCGGCGATTCCCTGAGCAACTTCAGGGATTCGCTTAGCGACCGTCTCAAAAAGAAAAGGTCATAAAATGGAGTGCGGCTCATTTAAGTACCACCGCCCTACTTAGCCACAGAAATTCATGCCGTAATTGTGCGGTCATAATTCGAGGACTATGTGTAAAGAACGGCTCGTTTTTTTAGATGCGTATATGATTTGCGTTAAATTCTCGGCCGATTTACGAGTCTGGCTGACATTTGCAATGCCTCAAATCAAGAATCCCATTTTGTAGTTTCATTACAGCATGACTATAATAGGAAACACAATAGAAGGACATAATATATAACACAACGCCAGGCAACCTTTGATACAACAGAATAACGTATTGCGTTGCATTATAATATATTCCGTGGCCATAAAAACGGGTGCCTCTCCAGCAAATAGTTTATTTATGAAAACATTTAAAGAAACTGATCAAATAACTACCTAAAAAAAGAGAAAGATATTGCAGTTGATAAAAAAACAAACTGTCAGTGAATAAAGAGTTGACAGTTATTATAAAGATGGAAGTTCAGTTTTTGTTGTACAGAGAAACATCCCTTGTAGGGATTGTTAAGAAATAAATTGAAATCTCTACAAAATTGTAAACATGGCGTTACTGTACACCAGTTGTTTCTTTTTATGGTCCCACAAAGTTCAGGAGCAACGCAGTCATCAATCAATCAATCAATCAATCAATCAATCAGAATAGAGGTGGAAGGTCTTCTAGTCGCTAGTCCACCCCCTCCTTAAGCAGGAGACTCTATACCAGGGGTCGTCAAACGTGGCCCTTTTAGGACTTGTGGACTTCAACTCCCAGAATTCCTCAGCTGGCTGAGGAATTCTGGGAGTTGAAGTCCACAAGTCCTCAAAGGGCCAGGTTTGAAGACCCCCGTTCTATACCATTTCAGTAGAACAGTAGAAGACCATCTATGACAGGATTTCCCAACTTTGATCATTTCGAGCCACGTGGACTTCAACTCCCAGAATTCCCCAGCCAGCCATGCTGGCTGGGGAATTCTGGGAATTGAAGTCCATTTGCCTTAAAGTTGTCAAAGTGGTAAACTCTGATCTATGGTGATTCAGAGGCTCGCTCCTCAAGACGATGTAAAGTTAGGTTGACCACCCAACCCTCGATTTGATGGACTCACCTTCTCTAAGTAGTTGAATTCCATCGCGATCTCTCGGAAGAAGAAGTAGACGTGGTTCTTCCACTCCACCGCATGGACAAAGTAGGGCTCTAGACCGGGTGAGTGAAGAAATAGAGAAATAGAGAGTCAAGCGGGACCTTCTTAAGAAGTTCCTTCAGAAGCTGCCTTTTTAAGAGATGTTATGGCTTGCTCCACCTGTCAAGGAAGCACCATGGAGGAGCTGGACCCCAATCAAACCAGGTGTTTATTGCTCCCTGCCTCAAAGGACATTAGAACAGGGCTTTTCAACCTTTTCACCCATTGTACCACTTTTAGGATATGGCAACATCCAAGTACCACCAGTCGCCTAGCAAGGTGTCAAAAACCTGATGACCCCCCACCCAAAAAGGAAAAAAAGTGATAAAGTACAGGTAGTCCTCGACTTACAACAGTTCGCTTAGTGACTGTTCGAAGTTACAATGGCACTGAAAAAAGTGCCCCCCAAGCCACAGCCGAGCAAGACACCTGCCTGCCCGCCCGGCCGCGCTCTTCCTCCTGTCCGAGGCTTTCATTGTGAGCATTTCTGTTGAGGATTGGCAGCGGGGGTGGGGTGGGGGGTGTTTGGTTTTTATTCCCCCCGTCTGCTGGGTGGTTGCAGCAGGTTTTGGTCACTTCACATGACCCTGGGACACTGACCGTCATAAATATGAATCAGTTGCCAAGCATCTGAATGTAAATCACAAGACCCTGGAGATGCTGCAACATTCCAGCTGATCGGCGCTTCTTCTGGGCTCAGCAGAAGCTCCAGGATCAGTGCTGCTTTCCAGCTGGAGCCTGGTGCTGATCCTGGCGCTTCCGCTGAGCCCTGACAGCCCTGCAGCTCCAGCCGTCTCTCGCTCAGACTTGTGCGGTGCTGCCACCGGTTCAGCTCATTCCCCTCCCCCACTACCACTTTTCTAGGATGGTCGCGTACCACCTGCCAGGTGCCAATGTACCTACGGGTGGTACCCGTACTACTGGTTGAAAAGCCCTGTATTAGAATCCCACTCATGGCTCAAGTCACTTCACTCAAGCTGGGATCTCTGCACCTTCCATACCGGAACTTCATTGCACCTAGTTTGTTTTTTTTAACAAAGGACCATCAAGTCTTGCATGTAGCTTTACTTAGGAAGGCAAGCATTTAAGGCAATGCTAGTTGATGCAGTGAGCTTCAGGGTCCTAGGAGTCTGGGATGGGAATGTCGTGGAAAAAAAAACCCAATGAAAAAGACAAGAGACAGCCACACAAAACAATCGTTCTTACTTTAAGATTCAGAGGTTTGTTTCGCTAATAATTTGGAACACAGCAAGCATAATAACACAACATCACTTACATCAATAACCCATTGCAATGAGGTCCACTGGCATAGCAAATTCCAAAAGGACAGCTATAGGCCAATGGCAAATCAATCAGGTACAGACCCAACTTTTTATACCCTTTCCCGTTCTAAGACTGTAGTCAGATGGTCTGGAACCCGCATCCGTCAGCTACTTTCAGTTCCCTATTTCTCAACTGTTCCAGGCTTTATGTTCTAAATATATTTGAAACAAACAAACTTAGCAAAATAATAATAATGATAATGATAATGATAATGAAGTGGAACCACCTGCCTCCAGAAGCGGTGAATGCTCCAACACTGGAAGTTTTTAAGAAGAAACTGGACAGCCATTTGTCCGAAATGGTATAGGGTTTCCTGCCTGAGCAGGGGGTTGGACTAGATGACCTCCGAGGTCCCTTCCAACCTTATCATTATTATTATTATATTATTATAATGATAATGATAATGATAATAATAATGTTGGAAGGGACCTTGGAGGTCATCATGTCCAACCCCCTGCTCAGGCAGGTAAACCTATACCATTTCGGACAAATGGCTGTCCAGTCTCTTCTTAAAAACTTTCAATGTTGGAGCATTCACCGCTTCTGGAGGCAGGTTGTTCCACTGGTTAATTGTTCTAACTGTCAGGAAGTTTCTCCTTAATTCTAGGTTGCTTCTCTCCTTGCTTAGTTTCCATCCGTTGCTTCTTATCCTGCCTTCAGGCGCCTTGGAAAATAGCTTGACTCCCTCTTCTTTGTAACTTCTTCTTCTAACTCAAGTCATAGAATAGATTCCTAGGCCTGGAAGGGACCTTCGAGGTCTTCTAGTCCACCCCCTGCCCAAGGCAGGAGCCCTTATATCATCCTAGACAAATAATTGCCCAATCTTTTCTTGAAACCCTCCAGTGATGGAGCATTCACACCTTCTGGAGGCAAGGAATTCCACTGGTTAATTGTTCTCACTGTCAGGAAATTTCCCCTTAGCTGTAAGTTGGGTCTCTCTTTAAGGAGCTTCCACCCATGGCTTCTTGTCCTGCCCTCAGGTGCCTTGGAGAATAAGTCACCCCCTCTTCTCTGTGACAGGCCTCAAGTACTGGAAGACCGCCATCACGTCTCCCTTAAGCCTTCTTTTCGTTAGGCTAAACATATCTAATTCCCTTAACCATTCATTGTACAATTTAATCTCAAGACAAGTGGTTGTCCAATAATAATAATAATAGTAATACCAACAACAACTGAAATTAGTATATCAGGAAGGCTTACTGACTACTGGAGAGACCAAACTGGCCTACAAGAAAAACCAAATGAAGAACAGAATAGAGGCATGGGAAGACAAAGCACTACATGGCCAGTACATTGAAAAAATAGCTGGGAAAGCAGATAATAACAAGACCTGGCAATGGCTAAGAGCAGGAAGATTGAAGAAAGACTAATTCTGGCTGCACAAGACCAAGCCTTAAGGACAAATGTGTACAAAGTCAAAATTGAGAAGTCAGCAACAGACAGTAAATTCCCCCTATGCAAAGAAGCTGAAGAAACAGTGGACCATCTGGTAAGCTGCTGCAAGAAGATCGCACAGACTGACTACAAGCAGCGGCATGACAAAGTAGCAACAATGGTGCATTGGAAGATCTGCAAGAAATATCATTTGCCTGTAAGCAAAAACTGGTGGGATCGTAAAATAGAGAAAGTCATAGAAAATGATAAAGTTAAACTGCTCTGGGACTTCAGAATTCAAACAGACAAGCACCTGCAACATAACACCCCGGACTTAACAATTGTCGATAAGAAAGACAAAAAAGTCTGGATAGTGGACGTGGCAGTGCCTGGAGACAGCAGAATAGATGAGAAAGAACTGGAGAAGATAACAAAATAGAAAGACCTACAAATAAAAATAGAATGACTGTGACAAAGGCAAGCAAGAGTGGTACCAATAGTCATAGGCGCCTTGGGTGCAATCCCAAAACAACTGGAGCACCACTTGAACACCATCATCGGCATTGACAAATTCGCCATTAGTCAATTGCAAAAGGCGGCCTTACTAGGAACCGCTTCCATCCTGCAACGATATATGTAATAATAAGGTGACCAACCGTCCTCCTTTAGGGAGGACAGTCCTCCTTTTGTAAGTTCTGTCCTCCCTCAAAAAGTGTCCTCCTACATGTCCTCCTTTTGAAGACTAATCTGCAGGGCTTTTTTTTTCTCATAGAACGCTCAGAACGGCGTTCCGGCACCTTTTTTTGATGGTTTATTTTCAACTTTTGCATGAGCTGTGCTACTCCTGTTATTGGTTTTCGAAAGCCAATAGGAATTGCTGCTGAGCGCGCCAAAACACTCGGCTGGCAAACTTTGCACATGCAAGTTGTCTGTATTATTGTTGCAATGAATAAAATGTTTCTTTTATTTATGATATTTTTTTCTTCAATTTATTTGTGTCCTCCTTTTCATTGTAAAAAAGTTGGTCACCTTAGTAATAACATCAAACATCCACATCTGCCTATCCCAGGTCCTTGGTAAGGACTCGATAGGTTGACAAAAATGCCAAATCCAGTCTGGCTGACTGTGCGATGAACAATAACAACAACAACAACAACAATGTTGGAAGGGACCTTAGAGGACATCTAGTCCAGGCAGGAAACCCTATACTATTTCAGACAAATGGCTGTCCAGTCTCTTCTTAAAAACTTCCAGTGTTGGAGCATTCACCACTTCTGGAGGCAGGTGGTTCCACTGGTTAATTGTTCTAACCGTCAGGAAGTTTCTCCTTAGTTCTAGGTTTCTTCTCTCCTTGATCAGTTTCCATCCGTTGCTTCTTGTCCTGCCTTCAGGCGCTTTGGAGAAGAGCTTGACTCCCTCTTCTTTGGGGCAGCCCCTGAGATATTGGAACACTGCTATCATGTCCCCCCTCGTCCTTCTCTTCATTAAACTAGACAGACCCAATTCCAGCAACTGTTATTCGTATGTTTTAACCTCCAATCCCCTGATCATCTTTGTTGCTCTTCTCTGTACTTTTTCTCAGCATCTTTTTTATATTGCAGTGACTGGATCTGGACTCAAGTCTTCCAAACATGGCCTCAGTAGTACAGTATAGAATGGTATTATCACTTGCTATGATATAGAATAGGATACTATTCCACTGTAGATGCAGCTTAGGATTGTATTGGCTTTTTTGGCAGCTGCAGCACACTGCTGGCTCATATTTAAGTGATTGTCCACTAGGACTCCTAGATCCCTCTAGATCAGGGGTAGGCAACCTTGGCTCTTTTACGACTCGTGGACTTCAACTCCCAGAATTCTAGAGCCAGCGTGGCTCAGCTTGGCAACCTCTCCCTTTCCCCTCAGCATGGCTGGCTCAGGAATTCTGGGAGTTGAAGTCCACGCGTCATAAAAGAGCCAAGGTTGCCTACCCCTGGTCTAGTTTAATAAAAAGAAGAACCAGGGGTGACATGATAGCTGTCTTCCAGTATTTGAGCGGCTGCCACAAAGAAGAAAGGGGGGGGGGTTCAACCTATTCTCCAAAACACCGGAAAGCAGGATAAGAAGCAACAGATGGAAACTAATCAACCTGGAATTAAGGAGGAATTTCCTAACAGCGAGGACAATTAACCAGTGGAACAGCTAGCCTCCAGAGGTTATGGCTGCTTCATCACTGGAGGTTTTTAAGAAGAGATTGGACAGCCACCAAATGGGATGGGATCTCCTGCTTAAGCAGGGGGTTGGACTAGAAGACCTCCAAGGTCCCTTCCAACTCTAT